GGGCACTTGGGTTGTTTCCACATTCTTGCAATAGTGAATTGTGCTGCCATAAACATTCGGGTACAGATGTCTTTATCGTAGAATGTTTTGTGCTCTTTTCGGTAGATGCCTAATGGTGCTATTGCTGGATCGAATGGTAAGAAATAAGGAAACTTGAATTTCAAAAGAATGCAAAGTGATCAGTGGAAACAGATACTGAGATACTAATGATGCAATCTGTAATGCAATAACACCACACCATCTATTTCTGAGTGTTACAGCATTTGCTAATCCAAATAGGTTTGGTTCTCAGGCCTGAAAGCTTCTATGGAAATGAGCAATGCATCAGAGAAAAGACCAAAAAACACATGCTTTATCAAAATGGCAGCTTTCCACACTCAATTTCATCTGTGACATTTTGTTAAAATTGAGCTTGCCAGATGTTTCACCACCACTCACCAAGGAAAGAACAACAGGTTTAATAGGAGAGGAATAAAATGAGTTTAGTTTTAGACATGTCAAAGATAGGTACCTGTGCAACATCTATTAATATGTAGAGAGAACCTGTACAGACTTTTTGGGTGGTGGCACACGGAGTGGGAACTCAAGTTCAGCATCAAAGCCTTGCTCAGTTGAAGAGGCAAAGATCAAAGTTCAGAGAGGCTGAGATAGATAGGATTTACAGGGCAGAGTACCAGAGAAGAGGGAGCTATGTAGAAATAAAACTCAAAAAACCTACTTATGGGTCCCCTTGAGTGACTGGAGACTAAGCCAAGCATGAGTAATAAGCCCAGCACCAATCTTCACAGACTGAGCAACAGAATACCAGAGAACGTTAAGCTGAACGATTCCCAGAACCCACACAGAGCTGGGAGATGTTTGTGTTCCAATCAGCAAGAATGCAGAGACAAAACAGGTCAGATCTTACAAGTAGAGCTAAGCTAGCCAGTAAAGGATACTTCACATTTGACCTAACAAAGCTTAAAAAGAAGCCTCAAAGAGACCAAGCTGATCCACAAACAAGTGCTGACAAAGCAGAATTCAAAGCTCTTTAATTAAATAAAATCAAGACATTCAATAAGTCACAATGTTGAGTAACCAATAAGGATTACTAGAAATATAAAAAAAGGAAAATGTGAACCATAACCACGATAAAAAATCACAGAAAGCCATGTAGAAGAAGTAGTAAGGGAGAAAAGAAAATATTTTAAAAATGGGAAGAAGAAAAATACCTAGAAAGAGCCATTGAAAAGGTGTTAAAATAATCAGGAGAGTATTGTCATGAAAGTCAAGGGGAAAGTTTCTAAAAGGAGGAGGAGATCAAGTAAGGCAGACACTGAAAAGTGTTCACTGGATTTGACATGAAGATACCTGGTGAGTTTGGCCAGGCTTTTCTAGTGAGAGAGAGGGGTAGAAACCGGATTGCAAAGTGTTTGTAGAGTGAATGAGATGTGAGGAAGAGATGACAGCCAAATATATTCCAGGTAAGATTGTCTCTAAACCAGGGAAGGCAAATTGGTGTACGTTTTACACGTGAAATATTTTTTAAATACTATTCTGAAACTTCATTAGCAATTTCTCCTTTCTCTTCCAGTCACATTTCCTTGTGACACAGAGAAATACTCCCAGTAGGAATGAGGACAGTAAAAGTGTTACCAAAAAAGGCATTCAGCAGCTTCTGAACTTGAATATTACTGCCCACGGTGCGGTACAACCCCTCTGTCTTGATCCCTAGGGAAAGAAAATCCAGTCAGTTCTGTGTATATAGTTAGAACTTTTATCATCCCCAGGGTAGAGAAACTAGGTACGTGTACACTAGAGTCAATTCAATGGGAAGGGATCTCTCCCTTCTCTCTTCAAGTTCTCAAGCCCTCCCCTGTAACAGAGTAACAGTCCTAAAGCATCTCTCCAAATAATCCATCCTTTCAGATCTCATTAACCTGAACAGAAAAAAACACACTCCGTAGTAAACAGAGCATATGCTTAGGTGAGTGGTTAGAAAGGAGCTAGGGTGAAATTAAAAAGACAGAAATATCAACTCTCAAGCTACTCCGAAACAGCGATATAAAGGAAGAGAGGCTGGAGTATGGGAGCTGTGAAGCAAAAGGCTGAGAAAAACTTAAGCAACACATCAAAGAAAAAAGAAGCTTGGCTCATACACTACACTTGCCCACATTCTAAATACCCTCAGAGGGAAACCAGGGAGTATAGTATCACCAACTGGAAAGAATGCCGATTCCACATTTGCCTGACTTTAGCTTTCCTCCCATCAATTTTTAAACCAATATGTATTGTGGCAGAAACTGAACTCTTCTTTATTTGGATGGTACCATCGTAACACTGCTTAAGGAGCAACAGGTACTATTTCAGAATATTTGATAAACCATTTCTAGCTCTTTCTCATTAAAAGCAGGAAACCATAAATTAACCAAATATGCTTAGATATCAC